ATATCCCCTTAAGCTTCTTGTGTGAGGCTCTGTCACCAACTGAGAATGTGCAGACCCCTGCAGACCTCAGGATAACATCCAAACCCCTGGCCTGTCCCTCCAGCCCCCATAGCCATCCCCAACGTGCCTTGCCAGCAACTCCTGCTGTTGCCATTCTTCAGGCAACCCAAGGTTGGAGAGAAATTAAGCTGTTCCTGAAAAACAACTAATCTTTGTTTCAACTTGAGCTCTCCTGGAATGACTTCTCCCACCCACCCCTCCCTGTTTGTTTGCCTGAACCCTGGAGGTTCTCCCTTACCCCAGCCTTCAGTCCACTCACCAGTGCCATAGGCTGTGCATCCAAAATACCTCTGGAATTTCTCCCCTGGCCTCCGTCTCCAATTCTAACCCACTCTGCCATCTCCTCATGACAGGAGATTGCAAATCACCATTCCCTGACATCCCACTACTCGGTGCCTCCCAGGCTCATTTGCTGACCTGTCACCACCCATCATCACCCATCATCCCCAGCATCTGCACCGTCTCCAAAATCTCCATTTCAAATACAAACTCCTGACCCCCATCTCCTGCTCTTCCACCTCCTCCCCCATTCTCTAGAACCCTCACTCCAACAACCCTTTAATCCCCTGTTGAGATCTGATACAGTGTGGCCCTGTGTCCCCACCCAAATCCCATCTCGAATTATAATCCTCACGTGTCAAGGGAGGCGGGTGACTGGATCATGGGGGTGGTTTCCCCCATGCTGTTCTCGTGATAGTGAGTGAGTTCTCAGGAGATCTGATGGTTTTATAAGTGTTTGGAAGTTCCTCCTACATTCTTCTCTCTCCTGCCATCTCGTGAAGAAGATACCTGCTTCCCCTTCAGCCATGATTGTAAGTTTCCTGAGGCCTCCCTAGCTATGTGGAACTGAGAGTCAATTAAGCCTCTTTCCCTTGCAAATTTCCCAATCTCAGGGAAGTTCTTTATAGTAGTGTGAAAATGGACTAATACAAGATCCAAAGACCTCACTTTCTTTTTTATCCAGTTTAGCTTCCAGGCCCCATCAATAACCACTTCTCTGCAAACCTATCTCTTGCCCCTTTCTGCTTCTGTCATATTTGCCTAGAAAAAGCCCAGTACTGTTGAAACCCAACTGATTTCCTATACTGTATCTGTATCCAAGTTCAACCAAATATACTTGCAGGACACACAGCTGTGCTAACTGGTCCCATTTTATGTCTATGACCACAGTCACATGCGCATGGAGATCTCCTGACACTGCCACAGTTCCTGTGTTTGCTCTTCAACCTCCAAAATGACCATGGCACACCTTTTCCTTTCCCTTAAGCCTCAAAGTCCCTGTAATAGACACTGTGGCTCTTTCTCTCCAAAACCTCTTTCCTATTATGTATTAGCAATGAGGTGTGGGTAGGGAAGAATGACCCCACCTTCCAGCTCAGGACTAGGCCCTGGGTCACCTCATTCCTCCTGCCACAGAGATTGATTCGGTTAACCTAGGCTTTTCCAGCTGTCCCATGGTACTCCCTGGTGACTTCTCTCTCCTGCAGTGATAGCGTCTTCTCTGCTGAGTTGATCCTGGTGGCACACGCACAAGGTTGGGCTGTTTTAACGTCAGACTCACCGCCGGCTCCTGTCAGGCCCCCACACAAAGCCAAACACCGCAAGAGGTGTCTATGGCCACCACACCCTCACGTCCTGAACTCACCTCACCCACTTCAACCTGGCGGCTGTCCTCTCCACTTCACCTAAGGTGCTCTTCAAAAGGTCTCCAGTAACCTTGACTAGCCCACCGATGACCGCTCCAACCCCAAAGGGCACTCTCATGCCGTCACCTTACTTGACCTCATGGCAGGCTTTTATACAGCTGGCCACTCACTCCCTTCTCCTCGAAATGCTGTCTTGTCTGGACTTCAGAAATGCCACATACTCCTGGGTGTCCTCCGACCTCCCAGATGCGGTGCAGTCTCTCCCACTCCTCTGTCTGGCCTCTATGTAGCACTGAGCCCCTGGACTTAGCCATCAGCTTATTCTCTCTGCAGGGACATGGCAATCAACCAGCCCCATAGCTTTGAATTCCACCCCACCCCATCTCCATCTTCAAACTGGGCCCAGACGCATCCACCTCGCCGCCTCTTTGGCTCCCCACACTGATGTCCAGAGGCATCTCAAACCTCAAACACGGGTCAAAAGCAGGACTCAAGTCTGCCTCTCCGCACTTGCCACCCCTACACAGAAGTTTCTTCCCCATCTCAGGAAATGGCGCCCCCAGCTAGCCAGATGCCAAAGGCACCCTTGCTCCTCTCTTTCACTGATCAACCCCATCAGCAAGTCCTGTGAGACTCAGTCCTGAAAGGTGTCCCTCATCAGTCCCTGCTCTCCACATTCACCACTCAGTCTACCCACGCCACCATCATCTCCCACCTGCACCATAACCTAACACCACTATGGAAACAGTTCTGCAGTTCCTCAAAAAATTAAACACAGAACAACCAGATATATGTCCCAGAAAGTCCACTCCGAGGTAGAAATGCCAAAGAACTGAAAACAGGTGTTCAAATGAAAACTTGTACACAAATGTTCACAGCCGCGCTATTCCCAACAGCCACAAGGTAGAAACCAGCCTGCTGCTGCTGGCCCCATTGCCTGGAATTCGTGATCCCAGATCTTTCCATGGTTGGCTCCTGCTGATCCAGATCTCTGCCCAAACCTTGCAGGCCTTCCCTGACCCCCCAGTCCAGACCCCACCACGCCTTCCTGTGTATGCCCTTCACGGAACCAGCACTGCTTGTAATCGCTTGCTCACTTCTGTGCTGTCCACCTCCTGCAACAGACGGGCTCCCTTTCCTGTCTTGTTCATGGAACACAGAAGGCACTCAGAAGACAGGATTGTTGTTGAGCCCCCAACCCGAGGGTCCCAGCGCCCCTCCTACACAAAGCCTCCCCAGTTCCTCAACCAGACTGTGCTTATCTCAGGAGCATGCCTACAGCCCGACAGCCCCTTACTGCGTCCCGGTCCGACCAGAGCTCTTTCTGTGGGCACCAGCAGGGCCCCTGTTCCTGAGATCCCCACAACCCATCAGGCCTCAGTCCCTGCTTGATGAATGACAGGGGCAGAGAAGGAGGCAAGGGGAAAAGTGCAAAGCATCAGGTGCTCTCAAGAGTTCCCAGTAACTGCAACCGCCAGACCTTGGGCGTGAGCCTTACTTCCCTTCTTTATACACTGGGACTTTATCATGGGGAAACTGAGGTGCAATGAAGTAACTTGTCTCAGGCCACACAGCCTTTGTGTGGAGCAGCAGAGAACACAGCCTCAGAACCTGCGCTCCCAATCTCTGAGCAGTACCGCGTAAAGAAAGAGATGAAATCCTCAGTGTCTGTTGGCTGCAAACATGAACAGTCCTCCCAGCCCACTTCTGATCTATGAAGTGCTGACATTTCTCCCCAGCTGTGGCATCAATGTGGGACCACGCCAGCTAAGGCCCATCAAGCTCTGGGGTGCTCTTGGCCCAGGGTTCACTGGACAGTGGTTGCCGCCCTCCTTAGCAGCTCTTAGCCATAGGGAGGGGCAGCCAGGGCTTGGTTCAGCAGAGTCAGTCCTGAGATTGCTCACAGGCCCAGCCAGGGGTGGGGACAGGGAGTGAGGAGCATGCTGAGTGCTCCTTTTAAAGCAGGGTAGCAACACGTGCTCGCTGTCAATAAACAGAGGACGCAGTCTGGGGGAACATCAACAGGCTCGTGGGCTTTGGCGCTGGATGACATTCATAAGGAACGCATCTTCTCTCTTGTTCCACACTTAGGTTGCCTGCCCAAGTGGACTTGGCCAAAGCTGTCACACATTTGCTCCTCCTGACACAGGCACTGAGGCTCTGGCCCTCCCCAAGTCAGGTGCCCCCATGCACTCATGAGCCCAGGCTACCAGCAGACTGGGCCTTCACAATCTCACCATCCAGGGGTCTGCAGGCTGGGTCTTCCAGCTTACCCTCATTTCAATTTTCACAGTAATGAGAAATACTATTGTCCTTTTTCTGTAACAATATTCTTCATAATAAAATCCTTACTAGGCGCCAGACCTTGCCCCTTGGTGCCGTGTATATTACCTTTCAGTCCTGCCCATGACACTGCGGGGAGATCATTATTCCCACCACACGGATACAGATCCTGAGGCTCAGAGAGGGCCAGTGCTTGCCCAGGGTCACACAGCTACCACGTGGAGGCAAGAGTGGAATCTGAAGTCGGGTCTATCCCAGCTCCTTCTTTCACCACCATATCCCCTGGACTTCCTGGTTAACATGCTGGCCTGTTGTCCCCGAGTCACTGAGCTATTCCCTACCTAGCAGGGGGCTCCAACCACCCTAGGTGAGCAATGATGGGGCAGTGATTGGGTGGAGCCAGATGGTGATGGGGGACACAGAAAGGCGACATGATGAGGGGGGCCTTGGCACACAGGGCATGCACACCACTAGCTACACTTACCACCTGCAAGGGCAAGAGAGCCCAGAGGGGGTCCCGGAGCAGACAGAGGAAGGAAGAAGGAGTTATTGAGCCACAGAAGCACTGAAACAGCCTCGGGCCTGGACCAGACACAGCCTCACAGCCTGGGCATCCCACACCAGTCACTTCAATGCTTGGCCTGGTGGGGGCTGGGGGGTTGGGAGGGGCTGCCCTGGGCATGGTATTTCAATGCCATGGGCTGCATTCAGGCTTGCGGGACAGGGGCGAAAAGGGCACATGATCTCTTAGCTTGGACAAGGAGCACACATCTGTGGCTCATCTTAAACTCCCGTGACCCAGCTGCCCTCGCTGCCCTACATGGGGGTGAGGACTCAGGTGGATCGCTGGGGGATGAAACTAGGGTGAGGTCAAATCTAGAAGTCAAGCTGCCCAAATCCCCTGGGCTTGGAAAAGAAGCCTGGCCACTGAGAGGTCTCAGGAAGGGGCTGGAATCAATACAAGATGGGTCCCTGAGAGGACATGCAACCCCTTCCCCATCTCCCCAACTCACGTGGCCGTGCAGGTCCGTGTTGAGCAGCATCAGGGCACAGGTGAGCGTGTGGATCCCATCTGAGTCACAGACAGTGGCACTCTCAGTGTGAGGACCCAACCTCTTCCCACCCCGTCTGCTGACAGAACCCGCCAGGAAGCCTTGGACGCAGAGGGAGGCCAGCCACCTGCCAAACTCACCTCAGAGGCCAGGGACTGCATGATGCCCCTGGTCCGCCCCCACTGCAGGGCCCAAGTCACATGCCTGCCCCAGGAGCCTGACCACCCTGGACCCACTCTGCCCTGGACTCCTGCCTCCTGCAGCCAAACTTACCTTGAACCTCAGACTGAGGAATGGCTCTAAGCCCCCAGCCTTGCCCCTGCATGGGCTGTGTCTCTCCCAATAATGGGCCTAGTCTGGGACTTGGGCCCATCTGTTGGGCAAGCCCTGTCCCTAAGAGGACTCCGACCTAGACCTCCACCACACCGGGACAGCCACCACACCAACAGTCAGCACCACGACAGGGACTGCAGGAGAAGGAAGAGCCACAGGACTGAATCCCGAGGCTGGAGGACTTCCAGGCAGTGGGGAGGAGAACAGGCAAGACTGCCTTGCTCAGCAGGCATACCCTGTGCCATAGTTTATTCAATTAGCATTCATTGAGCACCTACTGCATGCAGAGGACAAACCATCTGGGCTGGCAGTGGGACTGAAGTGCCAGGTGGACCGGGGTGGGAGGGGGCCAGGGCCTGGCTGAGTGGGTGGGGAGGGTCGGGCAGAGTGGGCAGGGGGCCATACCTTCCGAGGTGCTGTCATCAGGGTTGCACTGGCAGTACCGGCGGGAGAAGTGTGTGAGGACCCGCTCACGCTCTTGTGTCTCCCCCATCAGCGGGAAGGCCTTCAAGAATGTTCTGGAAGGCAATTCAAAGCTGCTGAGGGCAGTCTGAATCCTCACCCAGGGTTAGACCACCCCCCTACACACACACACACACACACACCCCACACACCTGCCCCAGGGGGCCAGGGCTCCAGTGCCCCAATCTCTGGGTCTGGATGTTCTCCACACTCGGAAGCCCTGGCCCCCAGGATGGCCTCTGGAGTGCTAAGGCCAGGGGACCTGGTAAGCTTTAAAGTTTCAGTCCTCATCGCCCTCCAGGGACCTACCTTCTGGAAGTAGGCAGAGGACAGATGGTGAAGAACAAAGACAGAAGAGCACCTCAGCACCAGCCCTTCTTCAGGGCAGATGCCCACTCCTTGCTCCCTCCCCTACAGCTGGGCCCTGTCCACATCTGCCCTTCAGAACACTCCTCCTCGGTCATTCCCTCTGTTTCATGTGCCACGGCTGAGACCCACGCCCAATCCTATCCCCCCACTCCTGCCTTCCCCACCCCAAGTCTGGGTTGCCACCAAGTCCTGACAGTTTCTTCTTCAACCTCAACCTTAATTCTCCATCACTGCCACCACCCTCATCATGTGCCCAGGACAACGGGACCACCCCTGCACCCAGTACCTCCACCCTGCAGACACCAAGTTGTCTTTCTAAATAGACACGCAGGCAGGACTCACTGCTGCTTAAAACCCATCACTGGCTCCTTGGAACCCTCAGAATAGCACCCAGGCTCCTCATGTCATGGCCATGTTCACTGCCCAGACTACCCTCCTGTACCTCCAACCTGGCACTTGCCTGCTGCGTTCACACCCTGGACAGAACAGACATTTCACTATTCAGTGCCTCAGAGCAGTACCGCCACCACCAAACTTTCGGGCTGTCCCTAGGGGCAGCCTCACCACTGCCCATCCTATCCCACATCTTGGCACCACCAGCCCTTCTACTCTACCCTCTGTGCAGCCTCTCTCACCAGCCCTTCCCATCTGCCCAACCTCATGCTTGTTCTCTCCCACCTGACCCTCTTTAGAAGCCTGCACGCCTCTAGATCAAAGGCCACCAGCATACTGGCATCGGTGCTGGCTCCCAGAATGTTGCTTTACAGCCAGTACGTCTGTGGCTCCCCAGTGCCTGCACAGTTGAGTGTCAGTATTGGGCTGGCATACAAGGCACTCAGTCCAGCACCCATATCTCCGATTATGAGCTGAACCAATGAGCCCCTTCCCTGACCAATCTTCCTCATTCTGGTGCAATCTTTACAACTCAGCTCAGGATACAGTAGCTTGCAGCACACCAACACTTCCACTGAGAACAATAAACACCATGAGTTTTCATAAGCTATGGGAAAATTGCTGAGGCAACAAAGACCAAAAGGGCCAAGATTCTGGAGGGGAGAGAATTGCAGAGGTAGTCTGACCCCTCTGCGGCTGCTTTTTCCCTGGGGGCATTGCTGATTATGGGCACAGGCAAGAGGCAGTGCATTGGGTGGAATCAAAAGCTGGAGACTTCAAGGGCTGTAAACACATGGCCACTTTTCCCTTTGAGATATTTGCTGAATTTCAGAGATATAAAAGATACAAAAGGCAGGAAGCTAAAAGGCTAAGCAGGCCCTCTGAGAAGTAGAGGGATTTTTGTTGTTGTTGAAGTGGGGGGCAGTGTTGCTGCACTGAGAAGACAAAATTAGGCTTTAGAGCCCGCAAGGGGGTTTGCCGTACTCAACACCCCAGGCTCCCAGTAGAAAACTCTGAGGGCCTCTACCCTATGATCAGAGCAAACCCTGAGCTATACCAAACTTCAGTGCAACCTTGAGTAGATTAGGACTGCATCCCCCACACCCTTTCTAACTGCCTAGCAAAGGACAAGGTAAACCCTCTCTGGAGGAACACAGAATAATCTAGAACCACTACAATTCTATACAAAGTATACAGCATCTGATTTTTTTTTAAAGTTACTAAGCATGCAAAGAGACAGGATATATGATAGAAAAACAAGAGAAAAAAGAGATACTAGAAACAGATACAGATGATTCAGATGATAGATACTGGACTCAGCAGCAAGGGCTTTACAAGTAGTATGTTCAAAAAAAGATAGGGAAAGATGGAGAAAATAATGGAAAGGATGGATAATTCCCCTAGGGAATTAGAATCTATTTTTTAAACGTTTTAATAAAATGGAAATTCTAGAAATGAAAAATATAATAAATTTAAAACTCACTAAATGGGTTCGAAACCCATTTATGCCTAGTGTTCCATTATTGGAATGCTAAGCATGTGGGAGTTATTTATATCCTACTTACCGCTCAAGGTTATCAACAAGGTCTGATCTTGCAATTCAGAAAATTGCAACCTCAGGCATAAATGGGTTAATGACATATTAGACACAGAAAAAGAGTAAATGAAGTAAAAACAGGTCAACAGAAAATATCCCAACAGAAGCAGAGGAAAAAGAATGGAAATTACTTTGTGTGTGTGTGTTTTTGTTTGTTTGTTTGTTTGTTTGAGATAGGGTTTCACTCTGTCACCCAGGCTGGAGTGAGTGACACAGTCATGGCTCACTGCAGCCTCAACCTCCCCGGGCTCAGGTGATCCTCCCACCTCAGCTTCCTGAGTAGCTGGAACTACAGGAATGCACCACCATGCCTGGCTAATTTTTCTACTTTCTGTAGAGACTGGGCCTCCTTGTGTTGTCCAGGCTGTTCTGAAACTCCTGGCCTCAGGTAATCTTCTGGCCTCGGCCTCCCAAAGTGCTGGGATTACAGGTATAAGCCACCATGCCCAACCAGAAATTACATTTTTTTAAAGTGTAGGAGACACGTGGAACACAGTAAAAAGGTCTAACATGCATGAATCACCCCACCCCTGAGCTCCGAGATGAATCCATCTCTCCTAGGGCCTGGCCAGTATCTGCCCAGCCAGCCCCTGCCACCAGAGCCTCCCAGATACTACAGGACTGCACCCATCCATTCTACCCTCCTGCTCCGTGGAACCTGCAATTGGCCCTCCTGAGGTCTACTCCCTGGGTCCAAATACCAACAGAGTTGAGATCAAATCCCATTTTACCATCTCCTCCCTCAATGACAGTGAGGAAGTCTCTACCCCTCTGGCCCACAGTTTCTTCATTTGAAAAAATAGGAATGATAATGTCTACCTTACAGGGGTACTGAGGATGCGTGAGCAAGGTGAGTAAAGACCTGGAGCATCCTGCAGGCAGGAGGTGCTCAATATAGGCAAGTCCTGCGCCTCCCTTCCTCTCCTAGAGTTGAGGCTATACTTCCACCCTCTTCACATCTAACAGCTACCACAGAGGGGGCACTCGCCCAACTGCTGGACTGCTGCTGCTCCTGTGGCTTCTTCCCCACAGCCTCACCAGGGGGTCAAAAGACTAGCCCAAGGCTGCACAGCAAGTTTATGGTAGAGCTGACATGAGAATCCAGATGTGCAGCCTGTACCCCTTGTGGACACTTCCCATCCCAGCACCACTGACCTGAGTGCTCGGTCCAGAGTCAAGCCCGAGAAGTCGAAGAAACTGAGGTACTCCCCGGCCACCAGCCTGCTAAACTCGTTGCTGCCAGGAGAGTATGGGATGTCTGTTAGAAGCAGGGTCCAGCCCAAGGATGACAGAATCATAGGTGTTACTTTAAGGGTAAGGCCCAGGGTACCATGACCGACCCACCCCCCCGACCTGCTCAACCCCTAAGCTACTGGCCAGTTGGGCTGTAATGTTCAACCTTGGTCTAAGAGTGTCAAGAAGGCTTCCTGGAGGAGGCACTGTCTCAGTCAACACAGGGAATTAAGAGCTAACCAGACGAAAGAAATAGGGGTAAGATGATGCAGTGTCCCCAGGGAGGAAACTGCACGATGAGTCCAAGAAGCTACAAGCAGCGCCATGTGGCCAGAACCTAAAGAGCAGGAACAAGGCTCCAAGAGATGAGGCCGGGGCCAGGGCCTGAAGCCAGGGGAAGGACCAGGACTTGATTCAGAAGGGGTAAAGCAGGGATGATCAGTTTGTATTTTGGAACACGCCACTGCCGAGTGGAGACCCACAGTGGACTACAGTAGTTGTCCAGAGAGAGACAGAAGGGATGGGGAGAAGAGAGATTTAGGGGGTGGAACCCACAAGATACAGAGATGGAATGGGCATGAGGCATGGCCAAGAAGGTGGTCCCCTGAGGGAGATGTCAGGCTTCTAGACAAGGCATCCGTATGAGAGTCATCAATCCACAGCTGGTCAGTAACAGCTCAGGATAAGACTGAACCCATGCAAGAGGAGAGGGCACAGACAGGCTGGCCAGCCCAGAGCCTCGAATCAGGGTGAGGACCCAGGAGCAAGCCAGCGAAGGAGACTGAGAGACAGCAGCCAGAGGTGGGGTGTGTTGTCCTGCAGGCCAACAAGGAGAGGGTTTCAAGAAGACTGGCATGAGGAATTCTTGTCAAAACTAGAACAAATTTCCACCTGATTCTAATTAAGCCCAGAGCTCACCCATCCATTTGCAGGACCCATGGGAAATAGAGAAACATGTTAAATAACACCATGAGGATACCACATCCGAACTGTGGAACATTCTTTAGGACAAATGGCTTGGTTTCTTCAACAAATACGTGGCACTAAGAAGGGAGGAGGACTGCCCAACTGCCGAACTGTTGTTGATTAAAAGAGACTTAACAGACCAATCAGCCAAGTGCGACGTGTGGACCCTGTTTGAATCTTGATTTCAATAAACCAACATTTTTGAGACAATCAGAGAAAATTAAACACAGACAATGTTGGAGAGATTAAGAACTTTTTGTTCCTTTAGTTAGAAATTATAACAGAATCATGATTATGTAAAAAAAGATCCTTATCAGTTGGAGATACATGCTAAAGTATTTATAAATCAAACGATAGAGTGTCTGAAATATGCGTTACAATCTTCCAGCACATGAAAAAAAAAGCTATGGGTCATAGAGGAAATGAGAATGAATAGTAACTTTGAAACTCAGTCTTGGGTACAAAAAGGTTTCATTTTTTTTTTTCTGCTTTCGTGTCTGTTTGAAATTTTCATAATAAAAAGTTTAATTAAAAAGAAAGAAATGGCTGGTTGCATGGAAGCTGCTGAAGGGGCTAAGATGAGGCCTGGAGAGCAGCCACCAGATTCAAAGACACAAGGCTGCCAGTGACCTTGGCACAAGAGGTTTCTGAAGTTGGGATGAGGGGGAGGAAACCAGTGTGGAGGGGCTAAGTGTAGAGAAAGAAAAGGGATAGAGAGGCCACCCTGGGCAGAAAACCCAGGAATTTTGGCTGGAGGAGGAAGTGGGGTTGAGAAACAATTTTTGTTTTTCAGATGGGAGAGACTTGAGCACAATTAGCTGCTGCAGGGAGTGGCTGAAAAGATGGAGGAGGGCAGAGGCAGGCCATAAAGAAGGCTCCTGAAAGGTTGGCAATAGGTCTGGAGGTCCAGCCCAGCAGGAGAGATGAGGGCATCTGAGTTGTGATTTCTGGGCTGGAGCAGTTGTCAGGGACCCTGTGCAGGAGCAGCATGGAGGCTGCAGAGGGTGGAGGAGGCAGGAGGGAAAAGAGGGGGATCCAGGACCTGAGCCGCCATCAGGGCTCCGGGAGGCCTGAAGCCTGCACGTCAGCTCTGCTCCTATTCATGGACAAGAGTCTGGACTGTCTCCCAGCCCCGTGAGCAGCACTGTGGGGCCAGACCTGCTCCTGCACAGCTGAGAGCCTCAATGTGGACACTGGGAGGCACTCCGGGTGAAAGGGCCATGGCAGGTGGCAGGTGGACACACCAGCGGTCAGATGTGCGCAAGGATGTGTCGGCGGACTCCCTCAGTCCTGCAGTCCTGCCTGTCCCCTGGTTCCCTTTGGGACCCTCATCTAGCCAGTTCCCTTTGCACCAGTCTGAAGGCCGGAGTGTGTGCTTTGGGGTCTTCAGCTCCTTCAGCTGGTTCCGATAAACAGTGAGGCTCAATGAGGGCCAAGAGCCCTTTCCTGAGCTCTGAGTCCCACAGGTGTCCCTTGAGGCCCAGGTTCTCCTCTCTGGCCCCATTAGCTAGTCCCAGCTCCTGCCGGCTTCTCTGTCCTCACATCCACTGTGACCCCATAACCACATCCCACATCCCGCACCCCCAGCCCTGAGGGGCCGGCCGCCACCACCCCTCCCTGAGAGCATCAGCCTCACCCAAGCAGCCCAGAAAGGAAACAGATTTAGGCCGAGGCCAGGAATGAGGACAGTGGCAGGAGGAGGTGTCCTTGGGGAACTGTTGGGAGCACCCCCCCAGCACCAGGTACCCTGAAGGAGGTCACCTACACCTCCTTCAGGCTGAGAAAGACACGAGGTTTGCCTGGGTTGGGGGCGGGGGAGACCACACTCACTTCTTGCCCAGCTGTCGGGCCACATCGCAGCGCTGAAAGCCCTCGAGGTGGTAGAGGCGGCGTGCCAGCCGGCGAGCAGCTTCACTAACCCCCTGGCACCCGTTGGCCAGCGGGTCTGCGCTACCAGGCTCCAACCCCTCTGAGCTGCTGAGCTCAGAGTCTGAGTCTGACAGGCCGTCCTTCAGGCTGGGGTCACTGCAGATGGAAGGTGGGTGGAGGAGTAGGGTCAAAGGCCCTGGGGAGGCAGGGAGGTTCCTCAGGCCTCTGCAAACCATGCAGAGGCCAGAAAAGGGAAAGAAGGTCCACTGCAGCAGGAGGGAATGAATCAGACTTTCGGAAGAGCCTCTCACGTGAACTCACAGCACAGTTCCCTGACTCCCCCCAACTTCTACCGGGGCTGAGAAGGCCTGGAAGAGCAGAATGAAACCTCAGGACACAGGGTGGGAAGTCTGGATACAGACGGTAGGCCAGGTGGCCTTGAAGAGGGTGTACTGACTCTGGACACTGAGTCACCCTAACTTGCTTTGCCTCTTCTGGGTCTCAGTTTCCCCAGCTGTTCAGTGGTTCTCCCAGCTCCCAGCCTGGGCCCTGCCTCACCTGGCTGAGTTCAGCAACTTGTCTGTGTCCTCCTCATCATCATCCTCGTCCCCCACTGGGCCCTGGGGGCCATCTTCATGGAATCCATTGGGCATGGTCATGAGAGACAGGCGGCTCAGGACATTCTCTGAGCGGCTGCTGGAGATGGAGCGCCTCAGAGGGCTGCCCAGCTCCCCATCACCACCAGCTGCCCCCATGTCCCCCTCAAACCCCATGTCCCCAATGCCCAGCCCAGCCCCTGGCTCGGGGCTGTCACGGGCCCGCTGCTGGATGAGGGGCGTGAGGGGGGCCTCGAAGCTGACGCAGCTGTCACTTTCATCCGTGAGGCTCAGCCCGTCTAGGGAGTCAAGGCTGCTGTACTGGGTGCCCCGCAGCAGCTCTGACTCCAGAATCTTCTCAAACGTGGCACTGAAGCCATCCCGCACATCTGGCTCCCCGGAACCATCCAACCTGTGGGATGCAAGAAGCCAGTCACCATCCTGCCAAGATGTCCCCCATACGAGTACTGGTGACTACACTGATCTGTGTCTGGGAGGCCCCTGGGGGCACAACATCCCCCATCCTGTTCACTTATCCCTTCAGCCAATACTGACTGAGCACAAGGTGTCAGACACCGGGCTGGGTACTGGGAATTCCGTAGGGAAAAAAGCAGGCCTGGGGCCAGGGCCATAGTGGGCATCAGATATGTGTCTGAATGAATGAATGTAAGACCTTGTCCCCCAGCCCAGCCTAGGGGGCTGCTTCCTCCAGGCTCCCAGAGCATTGTGAATATCTTCCTGTCACAACCAGTGTCACACAGGGTCATAATTTTGCTCTTCCCAAACACATCCCAGCTGTCAAGTCTGGCCTCAGTGCTACCTTCTCAGAGAGACCAGGGGAGGCAGGCCCACAGCACACTGGCCTCCTGCTCCAGAATCTCTTAATTTACTCCCCAGACCTTCCTGTCATGTAAGATTCTGTCTGTTCCCCTGTTTACTATCTGTTCCCCAGCCCCAGAACAAAAGCTTTGTGAAGCCAGGGAGTACCCCACACACAGTAGGTGCTCGGAACATCTGGCTGAATGATAAACTGGGTAAATGAACATATGCTTGTCAGCCCCATGGCCCCACCCACACTTCCCAAGCCCTTGCAGGACCCTGTGCTGTCCCCCAAAAGAGGCCTTTGTACTGGCTGTTCCCTCTGCCCAAAGTTCTTCCCCAGCTAACACCCTCCTTCTACATCCCTTTCTCAGCGAGGCCTGACCTGACCTCCTGACCTAAACCGTGCCCTGTCTCCAAACACCACAGTCCCTTTTTTCCTATTTTTTCCCCAAAGCACTTATCTCCTTCCAACTTACTATGTAATTATTTATTATTTTAATATTTATTGTCTGTCTCCCCACTAGACCGTAAGCTTCATGAGAGCAAAGGTTTTTGTATGTTTCATCTCTAGCACCTGGAAGAGAGCATTGCACATAGATGAACTGAGGAGGCTGGGAAGATTCTTATCCACCAGCGAGATGAACAGGTACACAGGGAAGGAAGGAGAGACAGACTGAGGAGCAAGACCAAGACATGGGGCAAGAAAGAGACAGAGGAAGAGGACAACAGGGCCGGGGAGAGAGATAAAGACAGAGCTAGACAGACAAGGATATCGGTGGAAGATAGAGCCAGTAAGAGGAAGCCACACCAGGAAAGAACACAGCAGGCCAGCCCGGCCCATTTCAGATCAATTGAGGCCCATCACATGCAAGGAAGCACACACCTCCCTCTCCATCATTCTCCCCTGAGGCTCTGGCCACGCCCTACTTTCCCCCAGCCCCTGCTGCCTAGCGGAGACTGAGCTGTATTTGGAGGACTGGGAAGTGCCCCTTCCCCTCAAACATCTCCTTGGCCCCCCGGTGCCTAAGATTCCATCCCAGTGTGCTTCCTGGAGAAGGCACTCCCACCCAGCCCCAGCAGGAGCTGAGACTGAAGCCTCATTAGGCTCTCTCTTGCCAAGGAACAAAGTGGGGAGGGGGGCAAAAATCTAAAAGGCGCAGAATGCCTGGCAGGGGCTGGGATGGAAGTTTCCTCTACAGACCTCCAGAAGGAGAGAAGAGAGAAGAAATTTCCTTGTCCTGGCCACCAGGGCAAATACCAAAGTCAGCCCAGTAAAAACACCTCTGCCAGGCCTGTTCTGGGCACTAGAGATATCCAAACAAGACAGAGCCCTGCCTGTGAGGAGCTCTCAGCTCAGTGTCAGAGCCACCGGTGGAACCCCCATCTCCAGCCCCTTCATGCAACTGAGCAGGCCTGAGGGGTGGCCTGATGGGAGCTTGAAGACCATCAACCCAATCTCCAAGCATCCAACTGCCCCCAGCCTCTCCATCCCAAGTAAAAATGCCACCTCAATATAGTGGGCTCCAAGAAGCCACAGTCCCCTGCCCCCGCCCCACTGCCAGCCATGGGGCTGCCCTAGGCCCTGCCTGGATGGAAACACTCTGATGGCCACGCCACATCCAGTGCCACAGACACCCAAACCCACATACTCATACTCCTGCCCAGGGATCTAGAGACATGTATCCCTACATAACACATAACATGCCCCCAAATGTGCAGCCACAAATGACCAGGCCAAGGGCACCAACACCCTCCACCCACAGCCACCAGCCCCATGCATACCAACATGTTCACACACGCCTGTGCACACACAATGTTCAGGGCAGGCACCCATGCATGCCCCCCATGCACACTCACACGCCTCCCACATACTGCCTGTTCAGGCCAGAGCCTGTGGCTATGCATGCTAAGACTTCTAAATGCCTTCTTTTCTCAGCCCACCCTGGTGCCTTCTAGACATTTCTCTGTCCCTTCCCCACCCTGCTTGTCCAACACACCCCCAAAACTCTAGGTCTCTCCACCGCCTGCTGAGGACAACAGAAATTGGGCTGTAACTGCAGGACTGAAGTGAGATCCCTGATAGAACTTCCGGATGATTACTGCAGGTGAGAGTAGCTGAGAGGAATTAAAGCCCATAGCCTCCTTTCCTGGAGTCAGTTGCAGGATTTGGGAGATTCTCATTTCCAGGAAGCAGAGGGATGAACCAGACGAATTTTCACATCGGGCATTTTAAAAGGATTTGGAATTTGAATGCCCAGCCTGGGATGAAGGGAGGCAGCAGCCCCCCAACACCAACCCACATAGAAGCAGCTCACGATGGCTCAAGGGGCTGAAGGTGTGGGGGGGCACAACCTTCAGCCCCGCAGTCTGCTGGACTTTGAATTCTCTCTCCCGGCTCTGTCCCTTCAAAACACCCAGAATCTGGGCAAAAGAGGGATAGGAAATCCCTATTTTATTTGAGAGAAAAACAAGAACCAGAGAGACTAAGTGGCTAGACCCAAGCCACACAGTAACAGAGCAGCCAAAGGTGGCGAGTTCCCATACCAAGACACCTACTCACCCCAGCTGAGGGTCCTCAGCATCTGGACAGAGGCTCCTGGAAGCATCATCCCCCTCTGTGAGCCTGCCAGCCCTCCAGGGCCTGGACTCTGTTGAATCTTCCAGAATGTTCAAGTCTGGCTCCAGGGCTAGGCCATTGGTGAGGGAGAGGCTAAGGCTGAGGCCATGGAAGGCCACATCTGGGTCCTTCGTGGGATCCTCAGTGTCCGCTGGGGTGCCCCTTCGCTCATCCCCTGGGCTGCAAAGGCTGCTGTTCAGGCCCTCACTGGCTATTCCATTCTGGACCCCTGGCTCCTCCTCAGGCTCCAGGCTGGGGTCACAGGCAGCATCGCCTTCCTCAGGCACTGCAGATAAAAGCTTGTCCTCCTCCATGGCAGCCACTGCCTCTGCCCGTCCTGGCTGCTCCTGGGACTCCTCTAGACCTGGCAGCAAGGAGAGAGGAAAGGCTGGTCAGACAGGGCTGGGGCTGGGGCTAGGGGGTGCCTAAAGTCCAGCAGAACCAGTGGCAGAGCAGCCTGCCCGAGAGTGGGAGATGGCCAAGACAGTCCCCTTGGGGGCCTTCGGGCTGGAATATAGATTCGGGCCACGGTCCCCTCACTGCCCTGCCCAAGCAGCCACCTCACCTCACCTTTGACCCTGGCCCGCCCATTGTGCCCCAGGTTCTACCCTTCCTGTTACCTCTTATGTCTCTCCTGTGCCTGCCAGAGTTCACCAACGCCCTCTTAGGAACATCCAGGTGGGAAGGAAGTGGAGAAGGTTCCAGCAGGGCCCCCTTCCATTCCCATTAGTCAGTGATGGAGACAAACCACAGGCTGACAGCCACCGGTCCCCTAGCCACTTCCCACATTCTTGCCCTGGCTCCAGGAACCAGAGATGAGTGAACCTTACCTTTGTGGTTAATGGAGGGAACTGGGCTGGAAGACTATCTTCAAGGAGGAGTTAAGAGAGGAGGCAAGGAAGCCAACAGATGCAGCCTGATCAGAGCAGGGCCCACCCCAGAAAGCAAAGTGAAGCCTGGAGACGGCTAGGAATGGACCAGAGTGGGGCGCTGTCCAGGGTGCTGGGCGGGTAGCACCGCCCGGGAGCCTCACAGAGAGCCCAGGCTGCCTCCACCACACCCAGTGCCCAGAGCCCCAGCTGTCTGGGAGGAATGAGGAGACCTGGGTTCCTCTCCACCCCCGGGCCCCCTTCAGAGCTCGCCCAGCTGCGAGGAGGGACTCATGAAGAGGCTGCCAAGGGGCACTCTGCGGAGTCAGGCCCTGCTCTGCCCAACTCTCTGTGTGACCTCATGTGAGTCCAGGTCAGGCCTCCTCACTGGCCTGCCCAGGCCAGCCCCACTCCCCTCTGGGTCTGTTTCTCTACTGTAAAATGAGAAGATGCATTTCCCACCATCTTCACCTCCGCTGTCTCAAATGGATTGGGACCAGCCCACATTTCCCAAAGGCTTCCTGCCCAACCTAATTCCAGATGTACTGTGCAACGGGCTGTGTTCTGGCTCTCCCCTTCTCCCCTGTCTGCCCCTGGCCCTACCTAAGCTAAGCTAACTCCCTCCCCAAGTGGCCTCTGCTAGTGGGGACCCAGACCAGCCCCTCCAAATGCCCTGGAAAGAAGTGGGAATTGGGGCTTCTCCCAGTTCTGGCTGGGCCACTTCTTTCCTCCCCTTGCTGGGCCTTGGCCACCACTCTGCTCTGGAGAGGGGTGCTGGGGGTTCAGGAGAGGGTGCACGAGAGGGACTGGCCAGCCTTCTGGGATGCAGCAGAATGAGCTGCAGGGCCAACAACAGGGATGTAAGTGAGGCCCAAGCTTCCTACACTTGCCTGGTCATAAACACCACCTGAGGAACTTGGTACAATGCAGATTACCAGGCTCTACTGCAGACCTCCCAAACCAGAAGCTACAAGGGAGGGTTATCATCCTCTGTGATTCTTATAATGAGGGAAGTGTGGGAACACTGGGATAGGCTCCAGGAGAAAAGTCCCACCTAGAGAACAAGAGTCTGGGGAGGAAAGTGGATCCAATTCTCAGGAATTCTGGGCCCTTGAGGGGAGCTTGGCCACCAGAGTCCAGTTAAGGTTATTTAACTTCAGTTTTCAAATACTGAGTGAAATAGAAGAGAACAGAACTGACAGACCTGGGACCCCCACCGATTTACGCTGGCCCTCACCTCCTAGAGTTTTGATGACAGCATAAGAGGGATTTTTACTTAAAAAAAAAGCCCACAGACTTTTAAACATCTGAAGAGCCATGCTGTAGAGTATCTGGGCCCTGATCCTAGGACATCAGGGACCTCTAGAGGTCCAGCCCTGAGTGAGAAATTCTTTCTGGTCTGCCCTAAATCCCTGCTGCTGTAGTTGCTATTTCAATCTGTTCCCTCTGGTTATATTCTCAGAGGAGGAAAAACAAGAAGTCACCTCCTCAACTGAGACTTCTGGTTGGGGGGTAGGGGGATCGTTTAGAAAGGAAAAAGAAGAGGAGCTACTGGCCTGCTGTGAGTTCTAGTCCTCTGATCTGCTTTCTAGCCCAGGGACCTGGATGAGCATTTGCTCTGGGGCACAGTCTTTCAACCCGACTTCACCAGGATGATTCAAGCTCCCCGACACATACCTAGAGGCTGAGCACCCCCACTTTGAGTCAGGGCTCTGACTAAACCTCTGTGAAACCCAACATATAAGAGTATCACCAGCTTCGCTTGATGCTCAGCCTACAACAGCACCAAAGCCAGAACTGTGGACAGATTGAGGACCTCTTGGGAGACCCCTCCATCCCACCCTCAGCTTCCAGCAGCTGCCTCAGGCTGGCTCCAGCCCTACCTGCCCTGCCATGTCCTCCTTTAGCTGGGAGTGGGATGGAGGTCCTGCCAACACCAGGCACTGGGCCATGTCCTTGGTTTCTGGGGGTGGGCAGACAAGGGGCAGCATTGAGCTCTACTCTGGGCGGGGGGCCCAGAATCCCTGCCTGGGCACGGACCAGCTGAGCCCAGAAATAGCTGAGCCAGAACCCCCTGTCTTGCTGAGCCCAAGGGAGGGCAGCACAGAGGGGAGGTTTTAGGGCAGAGGTGTAAAATGATGCCCCACGCCCTCACTCTGAACCACTATGTGCCCTGGGACTCATCATGTCTCCCTCTGGCCTTTGTGAACCCATCTACAGAGCGGGGGGCATCACCTCAGTTCACCGTCAGGGCCAATGAGAAGCTTAACATCACAAACGCTGAGAGAGCTGAGGTCCAAGGAAGGGCAAACTCACTACAAGGTTGAGGATGAAAGGTAGCTGTGCTCCATCCTTTCTACCACCATATTTGACAAATGAGGAAGGCTGAGGCACAGAACCCAGAAAGGTTTTGCCTGAGGTCCACAGAGTGGCTGTCTCTAGAACCCAGGAGTAGCCTCCTTCTGCAGCTAGATGGGCTGGAGATGTGGAATAAGCCCCCAGTTTCCCAGGCCCCCCATCAAACCCTCCCAGGAGATCAAGGGCCCAAACCCTCAACCAAGAGAGTTGGCCCAAAGCAGTGGCCCTTCCCACCTCCAGCCCTGCTGGAGAGAGCAGGGGAGCGGGTGCAGCTGGGCCACTGGGCACCCATCCCACGGAGACGCCTTCAAATGACAGGCTGGCATTGGCCAAGATCCCCTGCAGCCTCTGTTGGTCTGATCCAAGCCCCTCTCCAGGCAGGGGCTCCTACTAGCCTCAGCCCTTGGAATGACCTTGGGCTTGGCAGCCTCTTTTCAGCACCAGCTGAGATGGGTCCCGTGATGATAGTGGAACCCTGGCCCTGACAGCTGCCAGGGCTGAGTGCCGACAAGCACTTCCTGGGTCTCAGCTCTCCTGAGTAACTCTGTTCCCCTCCCCACTCTCCCTGTGGCAGCTGGAGGGAGCTGCAAAAACACAAACCTCCCTCCCTCCTCATAGTCCTCTAATGATCTCCGTTAGATTAGAATCCAGTCTCCCCAGCATGGTCTGAAAAGGTCCTGCAGGAGCTGGTTCTGCTGCCCTCTACCAATCCTCATGCTCTCCCACATCAGCCCCAATGGCCTTCTTTCTGCTCCCTAAGTGCATTCCCACCTCAGGGCCTTTGCACTAGCTATACCCTTGGCCTAGAATGCTCTTTCCCTAGACCTTTAAAAGAGCCTCTTCTGCCACTCAGGGCTCAACTCCAACACTGCCTCCTGAGAAAGGCACAGTCTGACCCCTGGCACTCCATCACACTCCTCCATGGAGCACCATAAACTCAGCAGAACTGAAGCTCTCTTTTCTATGTGTTTACTGATTCCCTGCCCGTCTCTGTACTAGGATGTAAGTTCAGTGATGGTGGGGACTATACTTGGCACACAGTAGGCACTTAGAAAATATTAGTTAGATAAAAATAGGGATTATCATCATGCCTATTTGTGGCAAAGCCAATAAAGGTTGAGGGAACTGCTCAGAGTCACAAAGCTGGAAAGCAGCAAGGCTGAGATTCTGATGGAATGCTAGATTGTCATAGAAATAATCTTATGGCCCCTTTCATGCTGGGATTCAAGCCGGGAACTGTGGGAAACTCAAGGACAGAGCCAAGGTAGGGGCCCACCAGAGAGGGCTCCAGGGGCCAGCATGCTCTATAAGACACAGGGGCAAGTGCATAGGTGCTGCACCTGAAAGCAGACATACAACGCAGGCATGGGTGGGCACATGCACACATGTACACATTTGCCCACACACACACGCACATACATACACACACACATGCACGCACACACACACGCACATACGTACACACACAGAGGGAACTAGGCAGCCACTCATGAGGTAATCCCCCTGGTTTGCCTGGTAAGGTGGGAACAAGGCAGCTGCAGGCCTAGGGGCAAGGTTAAGGGCAACTAGGTGTACATCACTGGGCATCCAGGGTTAAAACTGTCCTGGGTATGCAGAAGAGACTGGGATCAGAGAACATTCTTCCCCAATGTTAGCATGGTGGCAAGGCTGAGACCACAGCTGACCCAGGGAGCAAATATAGGAGTGCCAGGACCCTCACGTTTTGCCTCCAGTGGGCTAGGGGAAGTTGGGCAAAAAAACTCCTCTCTGGTCTCATGTTCCCACGTGCACCATTGATCCCTAACCAGTTCCAAGTCCTGGACCTCTTGGTGTGTCTGATGGAGAATCCCGCCCCGGACTCTCACAAATGTGAGCAACATTTAGAGTGTATTTGGAAAGGCTCAAAGCCCCCTATCCATCCTTGATTCCATACCCTAACCTGGACAGTCTCCAAGGACCTGCCACCTGATACTGAATACTTGGAGAGAGTTCCATGAGGGGTACTTGGCAAAGAAATCTTTCTTTCTTGGACCTATTCTCTGCCGCCGTGGAAACCCACCCTGAACACCCACATTGGCTCACTACTCTTCCCCAAAATCCCTACCCAAAATTCCCTAGATCACCCAGATTTTAGCACATGAGCTAGGATCTTCAGACACACAAACACACGTGAACATACACAAACACACAAGACACGCACAGACACTTAAAAGAGATGATCAATGCAAACAGGTGGCATGTAGGAAGTGTTTATAGCAGACCCTGACCAGCTGGCCCCCACACCATCATGGGGCCTAGGATGGCCCAAGCCTGGGCACTCCAGGGCTCCACAGAACCTGCTAGGACACTGGCAGCATAGGCAGTAGGGTGCTGCTAGGAAGAGCCCTCAGTTGGGCCCCCCTCACCATGTTCCCTTGTAGTCTCTGCCAACCAAGGGGCCTAGAGTTAAGGGTCTCCCCATCTCCAAGAGCTCCAGGCCCCTTCCCTAATCCCAGGCCAGCCTCCTCCACATCCCAACTGCCAGGGAGATGCCTAGGATAATTTTGAAGGGATGCCCACCAAGAAGCCTCAGGATTCCACACTCCAGAGTGACCCCAAACCCTCCTAACCCACCTGGTCTTCCCAATTTGGACTGCCTTGTGCTGCAACAAGGGCCTCAGACTGGGACAGTCCAGGAGAGCGGATCAGTGCCCCTACCTGTATGCTCAGAAAGACCAGGCTCCAAATCCAAGCTGTGTGATTTCAGGCAGACTGCTCAACTCTCTGAGCTCAGTGTCCTCGTGCATAAAAGGGGGTGCCAACAGCTTTTGTCCTCACAAGGCACCTGTGAGGACTAAAGGAGATGACGTGTTCAGTGCTCAAGGGTGGGCTGCTGCCTCTCAGAACCTTTTAGGGGCTGCAGGGAACCCAGCTGGCTATCCCCAAGGATGCCATGCCCAGGATAGCAGCACACAGCAGAGGCCACTCAGCCAGCACCCAGTGGATATTTATCCTTGGCAGCTGTCAGAGCGAGTTCTGAGGCAGGGGCTTCAGAAGCCCAGCCTGAGGGTAGAGGCAAATGAAAGACTCCAGTGGTGCCAGAAGCGTGGCCAGAGAGGGCACCCCCTCCCTTTCCCAAGGCAGCTGAGGTCCCTACCATCCTGCCCTCCCAATGCTCACACCCAAAGCCAGGCTCACTCCTACCTTTCCATCTCAGGGCACACGAGTGTATGGCAAGAGCCAGGAACCTAGGACTCCCTTAAAGATGCCCATCCCTTTCAGATAGTGCCAGTTTAGAGTGATGACCAGCCCCCACCTGCTTTCCTTTTCTCAGTGTGGCCCCCAGGGAACCAGCCCTTGCCTTGGGCTCATGTTCTCACAGTCAGGCAGGCAGAAGTTCGTGGGGCTGGGTGCACATTTGCATCTTATCTGCATGTGCTTTGCTGGGATTCTCAGGGGCCCTTGGGCCTCGATTCACAAAGGTCATTCCTGGACATCTCCCAGCTTGCTTCTCCCTCCAACCCCCCAGCCAATTGGCACCTTCATTTGCTTATAATTTGCATGCATCTGCATGCTGGTTGAAGAGCCCTTAACACTAATGAAATCCACAATGTCTGCTGTCAAATTTCAAATCATGTTTATAGCTGGTGACTCTACGCCCACTGACTTCCTTCCCTACGGGATGAACCCTCAGTTAGCAGGAACCACAAAGGACTAAGCTGTCCTGGTCAGGAAACTCCATAGCCAGACTGACCACAGTGCCATCTTCCTCAAACTTCAGAGGGCACTGGATTCACGCTGCTTCAGCCCACAGGCTCACGGAGCCCACAGGCTAGCATGAGCCTGAGGGTTGAGAGCTGAATCCCGAGAGCTACAGTGGACTGACCAAGTGCAAGTCCTCCCAACCAGCCCAGCCTCGCATGAAACACCTGGGCAGAGGCAGCACTGAGGGAGCTCAGCCTCTGAGCAGCTCCCCCCAGGCTGCCTCCACAGCCAAGAGACATAAACCATGAAGTTTCCTCCTCCCTTCCCTCGGCCCGGTTTTCACATACCCCACACCCTCTAGGTCCTCACATTCTCCATCCACACCCCCAACTCCTCTCCCTCTCTGCCTCTCCTGCTGTGGCCTTCCTCCCCACCCCCTCCCCAATCTCTGTGTTACATATCTTCTCTTTACTCTTCCCCAGCCAAGTCCTCCCTTCCCCTCCCTCCTCTTCCCTGTCCAGTCTTGTCTTCTCTTTAGGACTTCAGCTCAGGGTCTGAAGGTTGTGGCCTCCTTGATGAAAGCATGTGGGATGAAGTAAGCAGGTGTGAAAGGGGCTGTGCTGGTCCATTTAAGTGTCACCTCCTCTCTCTTGCCCATGGCCTGCTGAAGGGAGGTCAGGAACTCTAAAGCCTCACCTATCCTCGGGATGTACATGGGGCAGGAGAGAGCGGGGACCCAAGAGTGATGCCAACATTTGTGCTCTGAGCAATTAGAAGGATGGAGTTGCCTCTCAAGAAAGGAAACTGGATGGAGCAGGTGTGGGGAGGAAGATGGGGCAAGTCGAGGTGGGGTGTCTAGCAGGCAGGAAAGCTGAGATGCTGCATAGGCTACTGGAGTTTGCAGGAGAGGTTGAGACTTGGAATTTAAATTTGGGGGCTGGCAGCACATAGGTGGTACTTAAAGCCACAAGACTGGATGAGATCTGTACGGAGGAGTGGAGACGGAGGAGAGATCCTGTGCAGGGTGAGTGCTGGGGCACCCTGATATCAAGAGATGGGAGAGAGAGAAGAGGAACCAGCAAAGGATGAGAAGGAGCAACCCACAAGGTAAGAGGAAAACAGAAGAATGGGTGTCCTGGAAGCCAAGGAAGGTATTTCAAGGAAGAGGGAGATGGGATGTGTCTGCTGCCGCTGACGAAACTGAGAATTGGCCACTGGCTGCAGCAACAGGAACATTACTGATGATCTTGAGAGGAGAGGTCAGTGGAGTGGAGGGGGAGAAAGCCCCATAAGAGTGGTTGAGTCAAGAGGGAGCGGGAGGAGAGGATGTGGAGACAGCGAGTCTAGACAACCCTTCTGGGGAGTTTCTCTGCAAAGGGGAGGAGACAGATGCAGCAGTAGATGGCTGGGGAAGGCAAGAGAACCTTTTTTTTTTTTTTTTTTTTTTTTTTTGAGATGGAGTCTCCCTCTGTCATTCAGGCTGGAGTACAGTGATGCAATCTCAGTTCACTGCAACCTCCAAGCAATTGTCTTGCCTCAACCTCCCAAGTAGCTGGAATTACAGGTGCCCACCACTGCACCTGGCTAATTTTTGTATTTTTAGTAAAGATGGAGTTTTACTATGTTGGCCAGGCTGGTCTTGAACTTCTGACCCTCAGGTGATCCACCTGCCTCAGCCTCCCAAAGTGATGGGATTACAGGCATGAGCCACCATGCCCAGCCAGAACCATTTTTAACACAGAAGAAATAACAGCAAGATATCTGCTGATAGGATGCTCTAGCAGAGAGGAGGACCCGATGATACAGGCAGGGGCCCTGCTGGAGTGATGTTCTAAAGCAGACACAAGGGGCCATGATCTCTGCACAAGTAGAGGGGTGGCCTTAACCAGGAGCAGGGACACTTCGCCCACAGAGACAGAAGAAAGCAGAGCAGTGAGTGCAGATGCTGGCAGACAGGTGAGTGTGGCTCTGGGAGCCTCAGGACGCTCTAACTGCTTATATTTTCTCAAAGATGATACGCTGAAAGGAAGGATGGGAGGGACTGGGGGGTGAGGGTAGAAGAGCAAGTGGGGGCTGGGTGCAATTGCTCATGCCCATAATCCCACCACTTTGGGAAGCTGAGGAGAGCAGATCACTCGAGGTCAGGAGTTTAAGATCAGCTCTGGCAACATAGTGAGACCCCATCTCTGCACACACACACAAAGAGCAAGTGTGAAAGAGTCATCTAGCACGGGGTAGAGGCGACAACCTCAGAACCTGTGCTGTGCCTGCTGGACTGCGCTAAGGACCCACTTGAAGTTCAGTGTTCATGGGCCTGGACTGAAAGTGAGAATAGTCAGGGCAGTGGTTTTGCTCAGCCCCAGTCAGCGGCACATGCAGGCATTGGATAGGTCAGGCATTGGATTTAACCAGCGTTGGGGTTTTGCCAAGCAAGTATGAAGAAGCAAAACGAGGTAAGGGAATTGGGGTCTGCAAGTTAGTGGCAGGATTATCCCAACTTCCACAGGGGCAGCTGCCGTCTGAGCCAGCCTAGCCCTGCTCAGTCCCCTCTATGCTGGTGCCTGAAGCCCACTGTCCATTCCCTGCTGTGGGTTAGGTGTGGCTCTTCTTTCTGCCCCCATCTCAAAATGAGCTTCTGCGAGGGGGCCACAGGTGGTCACCACCAAATGAACTTCCCAAATACCATTACTCTGGCCTGGAAAGCACCTCAGACCTCACACACTCAAAACCACAGCCTCCATCTCCCTTCCCAAGCCACTGCATGAGCTCATCCTTCCCACTCTCCCCACCTCTAATCAGACACAAGGGCCTGCCCATTCTGCTTCCTAAATCTCTCCCAGCTCCATCCCCTTCTCCCTTCTCCCACCGGCAACAGCCACCCAGCAGAGTCACCAAACCACGTAACTCCACTCCCTCCGTGCGCCACACACAGCAGCCCCAATCCAGTCCCCTGTGTCTTGTGCTGGGTGCTTCCACAGCCTCCTGGTTGATCTCTTTCCCATGTACTGGCCCAGCCAGCCCCAGTTTTTACTCCTCAGAGTGCCTTTCCAGCACTCAAAACTGCCCCAACATCCCCTCTTCAAAGCCCTTCAGTGGTTTTTAAATGCCCTTGGGGAAAAGGCCAGCCTGGTTAGCCCACATTCCAGGCTAGCTGTGGCCTGAGCCTGCCTTCCTGTCTGGCCCCCCGTGCCCTCTCCCCTTGCTGTGCCTCTTATTACTTTCTCTGGGCCTCCCCTCTCCCCTACCAACAGCACAGGTCTGAGCAGCAGCTCCTCCACCCCCAACCCTGAGGTTGCAAGCTCCCTGAAGGTCTCTGTCTGCTTCTTCATTCTCCAACATCTGGTCTGATATAGGGGTTCAGTCAGATTTGCTGACCTGGTGCACAGATTAAGCTTTTGGAGGTAGAGAAGGGGGGGGAACAGAATTGAAATACAGGGACCCCTGAGCCAAGTGACCTAACTTAGTGCCGCCTACTATAGAACAAGCAAGTAACAGGTGCCTCCCGTCCCAATATCATGCACGGAGAAGGACAGGACATCATCTATGGGATATTCTTGCCCAAAAATGTTGAACTTGAATCTAATCATGAGCAAGCAAGAAGACCAATCCAGAATGTGAAACACACCACAAGGCTTCAAAATTAACAATGTCATTTTAAAAATTTCAAAAAAGCCAGGGATTCATTCAGATTGAAACACTAAAGAGCCATAATAACTAAATGCAATGTAAGTTCCATGATCAAATTAAAAAAAAAAAAAACAGCTATAAAGGACATTACTGAGACAACTAGAGGGGTAAATACGGACTACATGCTAGGTTAAACTGGATGATTACTAAACTTCTTGGGTATGACGACAATAGAGTCTTTTTGTAGAAAAATGTCCCTGTCTCAGGGACATTTCATGCTGAAATATTTTAAAGTGAAGTGTTATAATGTTGGCAACTTAACTTTCAAAAGGTTGAGAGAAAGAGAGAGAGAAACAAGTGGGGCAAAATATTAATAGTTGGCAAATCTAGGTCTCCAGGTGAAGGGTATGTTGGTGGTGTTCACCATATTATCAGCTTTGACAAGATAAAAAGTAAGGTGGGAGAAGAAAGGGAGTGGAGGAAGACATTCCAAAGAGGGGAGCTCAGGGGCTGGGATTTGGGGGCAGGAGTCAGAGGAGAAGACATATTCCTTCCCTGGGGCAGCCCACAAACCTGGGCAAGCCGTGCTGTGGGCTGGCCCTGGGCCGGATGCTTGAGTCACCGCAGGCCAGGCAGGCAGAGTGCTGGAGTGGCTTACCACCTAAAAAAGGGGCCAGACCCCGAGGAAGCAGACTCACCTGTGGGCAAACTGGCTTAGAGGGACAAGGAAAACAAGCTGGCCCCAGGGAGACCAGGGCAGGAACATGGGCCCCTATCCCTCCACTGAGCTGTGGCAAGGAGCCAGGTCTGGCCCCAAGCCCACCCAACCCCCAAACACCACTCTAGGGGCGACAGCCTAAGTGTATCCTCCTGTTCAGAGAGCCAGTCTAAATACGGAGCCTCAGACATAAGATGCCGCTCAAAACAGATTTTCCTGGAAAAGACCATCTGGCAAAGGAGGTCTAGAGCATCGTCTGTCGCGAGAGGCAGTGTTGATCTCCTGCAAGCCAACGTCCGGAATAGGAATGCCTAATCCCACCTCCCTAGGAAACTCTAGCTTAGTGCTTGTTTTTCCCAAGGTTACCCCCTTGCCCAGATGGAGAGGCACTCTGTCCCACCTCCCACATCCCTCCTAAGTTGTATCTCCAAGGCAGAAGAGGATGAGGATGGGGACACAGGTCTGAGTATCAGACAGTTCTGGCCAAGTGCAAATCCTCACTCTGCCACTTACTAACCAGGGGACTTTGAACAAACAACTCCATCACAAAATGGGAATAATGGTAGTGTCTCCCTCTAAAGATAGTTATGCTATGAGGGTACTTGGCGAATATGCTCCATATATGGAAGCTGGGTGAGGTAATGCCCCAAGCCACTCTCTCTCTCTCTCAGTGCTGTCTAGAGCAGGAAGTCATTGTTTTCAGCTAGCTTTGCTCCCTCCCTTCAGGGAAGACCCTGGGAGGCACTACTGGTCAGGCCCGCTTGTGGAGCACGCACTCCAGAGTTGTCAGGTCAGGACAAGCTTCAGGAGGGAGACCTCTTGGGGGATCCCTGGGCTGCAGGGTGCAATTTACCCAAGCATTGAGACTTCAACCTTGCAAGAGGCACCAGTGAGGGAGGCCGTCCGAGGACAACCTAGTCATTCTCCTTTAGCTGGGCCACACCCACCTACTCACCCCATTGGGTGGGAATCTTCTGGGGGCTCTGGCCAAATCCTAGGGACTGCTACGTTTCCACCAGGACCAAACTTTGCAGTAGCCCCACTCAAAAGCCATGGCCTCCCACCATATATTGGGGAAAGGGGCTGCTGGGAGAACAGCAGACACATTTTACTGATTCGGAGATCCCAGTTCACAGAACTTGGAGCTTCCCTGGGAGGCAGGTTCCTAACCTCCTGGGGAGAGGGTGGAAGAATGACAGAATAACTGCATCTGCTCAGGTCCACGGGTTGGGTTTGGAGGCAGTCCCAGCCCAGTGCCAACCGCCACCCCCATTAAGCAGCTCTTGTCTGTAGGATCTAGAAAAAGGAACTGGGAAACCCAGGAAAGTCCAAACCCAGGCCACTCACCTGCCCTGGCCAAACCCTGAGCCGTCTCCCTGTCCCCATCAAGCTCAGCCTGGCTTATCCCCAGGCTGCCAGGAGTCTAAGGACCTCTTCCATTGTGACTGCTGCTTCTGCTCCGGGTTCTCTTCCTGGGCCCCCCAAGATGGGCCTAAGACAAAGGGGTGGGCTTGAGACAGTGGACCCCTGGGCCTATGCAAAAACAATGCCTCCAGTGATCATTCCAGGGAGCCCCTGGATCCTCTAGGAACAGCAGAAGTCTGAATACCTCCTCTGAGGAGGGGGCCCGCTGGGCAGGGTGGTCCCCAATCTGGACTCCTTCTCCACCCAGCCCCAGCAGCCGGCTCCTGGGAACCCTCCCTCCCGCTGCTGCCTCGGCCATTATGTGCCTCCTCGGCCTTGCCTGCCACGCCCCCGTGTGAGCCCCTGCTCTAGCGGCGGAGCTGGGAAGGCCTGGCCACCAAGCCGGGCTGTCAAAGTTGGGAAACTGGAAACAGAAATAAATCCTCAAAGCTGCAGCCTCGTGAAGGTGGCTGCCTGCAGGCCCCGGCACCCAACACCCCGATCTCCGGCCACCAGGCTGCCACTAGCACACCCCACGCACACGCGTACCCCCAGATTATACAAAAGCGGGGAGAGGGGAGCGGGCGGCGAAGCCGGGAGACAATCGGGTCGGCAGCCCCCACCCTCCTCCCTCAGGCTGGGCTCGGGCTCTCCCGCGGCGCCCCCTCTTCCCGGCCCAGTCCCGGCCAGCCCGGGCTTCCTCGCTCGGCCCCATCTCCATGACAACCGTATCCTTCGGATGCTCCAGACGCCGCGGAATTGATCTGGAAATGTAGCTTTGTTAGCGGACCCGGGAGGGCACCAAGGGCGAGGGCGGCGCCCCCCACTCCGCACGTGGCCCCCTCCCCAGCCGCTCCCGCCCCGGCCTGGCGGCCAGCGGGGAGAGGCGGGTCCCAGAGCCCGGCGGCCCCACTCACCGCTGCTGGTCCCCGCCGCGGGTCCGGCCTCTCACGGTGGGGCCATCGGAGGCCGCCGGGCTGCCTGTCCCGCCCCGCCGCCGCCGGTCGGAGCTGTCCGCGCCCGCCCGCGTCCCTTCAGGTGCCGGAGCCGCGGTGTGGAGAGGCTGAGCGAGGGGGACGGACGGCAGGAGGGAGGGAGCGGAGCAGCGAGCAGGAGCAGGAGGAGGAGGAGGAGGGAGGAGCGGGAAGGGCGGGGAAGGGCGGGGGCACTGCGGGCGCGCGAGCGGCGGGAGCGGAGCCGGGAAGGGAGCGCGGCCCCCAGCCCAGCCCGCCAGACGCGCACCGCTCGCCCCGGGACCCCGAGCCTGCCGTGGAGGGCGCGGCCCATCCTGTCTCGCCCCGCCCCTCGCGGGCCCTTTAAGAAAGTGGGGGAGGGGAGCGCCCGAGATTCCGCCCCTTCCTAGCCCCGCCGGGCCCCGGCCGTCCTCGAATCCCTGGTCAGATGCAACCATCTCTGACCGCCAGGCAGGTCCCTGCGGCCCAGAACCTGAGCCCTCAGGACCCGCCAGGCCCTCGAGGTGAAGGAGGGGCCGGGTCCTTGCCCTCCTCCCACGGTCTGTTCAGGGAATGACCCCTGCCCCAACAGTCCCCCAACACACGGCCAGTCCCCTGGAGACCCCGCCAAGGGGGGAGCAGGGAATGCAGGGGGCCAAGGTGAAGGATCTGAGAGAGGAAGACTGAGCCCCTGAGACCTAGAGACCGACGGGACGGAGACCTGAGGACCTGAGCCATGGGGTGAGAAGGGGCACTCAGGACAGAGTGGGAGGGGAGGAGGCAAGAGAGAGTAGAGACAAAAGAGACCCTGAGGGAGGCGGAGGTGAGAGGTGAGTCCAACCAAGAACGCAATCCCAGTGCCAAGTCAAGGGGAAGTCACCCTAGGCAGATATAAGGAGACCAAGGGAGAGACAGAGGGGGCCCAGGATGGAGAAAACCATCTCCCAAGGCACCTGTCCCACAGTGTCTCCCTCAGGGCATCTCCCTGATGCCCCCCCCTCACCCCAGGACCCTACCTGAAGAAGAGGGTTGACCAACTGTACCTGGGCTGGACATTAAAAACTTCCTGGCTATGAAGCACCTGCAGAGTAAGATTCCGCCTCTCTGAGCGGCAGTAAAGGGGCCCCACCCACAGGGATCTAAGGAGAGGATGGGGAGCAGGCCCAGTGCCTGGGTGAAGGCAAGTCAGGCCCTGCCACAGGAGGCCACTTTCTACCCCTCTCCCTGACTCCAGCCCCTGGGGACGGTCACCACATCCAGCTGCTTCCACTTCCAGACCTCTGCAGACCATCCACACTCTGCCCAGTGGGGCCTGGATCCTGCTGTGCTCAGTGACCTCCTACTGGACCCTCAGATTCCTCCTTAAATGCCTCTTCCTCCATGAAGGCTTCTCTGACCTTCTTTCCACCCATGAACACACAGACATGGACTCTTCTTAGGGAGCAAGAAGAGAATCTGCTGACCTCTTAAGGTGGCAGCAATTGGAAGTGTGGAGTCTGAGCCTCCCCCTCTTCAAGCTGGGTAACATCCAGTCCCAGCTGGAGCTGGGACTTCATCAACCATGGTGACGTCCCTAACAACCATGGATCTACCAAGGGCTCTTCATATGTCATATTTAACTCTCAAAACAATCCTACAACCCATTTTACAGATGAGAAAGCTGAGGGTCTGAGAGCATAAGTCACCTGCTCATGGCCCCAGGAGACCTAAACCTGTGGGCACAGCTGGCCAATTAAGAGGGCACTCAGGCCGCATCCACAGAGTCCACAAACAAGGGAGCCACTCTCTGTGCAGGTGCCCTGGATCTTAAAGGGCACAGGAGCTTAGCTTCCCTGCTGTCCTGCACTCTACCCTCCTGCCCTCTGCTACCTGAAGTCAGAGAAGGGTGGCAACCAGCATGGGCTGTGGAGAGAAGTGCACGTGGCAGGGCTTAGATTCTACATTCC